GGCTTAAACCCCCCCCCCCCCCCCCCCCCAAAAAAAAAAAAAAAAAAAAAAAGAAATGCTTTCTATGACTATAAAACGAGTTTCCACAATACAATCCATTAATAAAACAAGTAAAAATCAAATGGAAAACAACCAAGAGAATGTACTCGTGCAGCACATTCAAAGATACACAAGAGTCGATGGAAGAGTCTCACACAGCCCTTGTTTACGACGACTCTATTTTTAGGGGATAAAGGAAGTGTCTCGAGAGGATTAGCAGTTGTTTCCATTGGCTTAATCAGATGGGACTGGGTATGCAAAGCCTTAAATGCTTCAAGCGAATTGAACAAGACAAGCTCCGGAAGATTTCTGATCGACAGTAGTGAGTCAACAATCTACAAGTCATCTTCATTCTCTCTAAAAATTTGTTCAAGCAGAGGTGGTTATTAGTACATTCATCGTGTTTGTATCTTCTGGTCCATAACTGTTCCAAACTCTCAGTTATTTTGTTGCATTATGGATGAATGAAAGCTATTGATAGCCCCTTCCTCTACCACGTCCACCCCACCCCCTACCTCTGCCTCTGCCTTTGCCTCGTCCTCTTCCTCTTCCTCTTGCACTACTACTCCCTTCATAAGATAAACCTTCAAATGCCCTGTTAACAAGCTGGTTTTGCATACCACCACCTCCACGACCCCTTTTTGATGCATTATTGGCAGAACCATTAGCAGGACGTTTCCCTCTGCAGAAGAAAAACAAGTTATACAAAAGAGAAAAATGTTCAATATGAAGTTAAAATTGAGCTGTCTCTCATAAGACTCCATTTAATCAGCACAAAAGTCTTGCAGGAAGTGAAAATATACATGCAAAAGAATATCCAACACTTTCCTTAACTTCCTATACATAATATATATAAATAAGATCATAACTCGTATCCAACCAAGACAAAAGAGAAAAAACCTATATTTCCAACAATTTCAGAGTCAATATATCTCGCAAGTAGGCAAAATAAAAAATATCAGTTTTCTCTGCATAGTCTTATATTCAAGTAAATGTCAGGTCAAATAGGTAACACACTTCTTGTAACCTTTTACTCCGTTAATCAAAGTTCTGTTTCCTATAAAAAAAGCCAATTCAGCTGTTTATGTGACTAGTTTAACATTTCACTTACTTTTCTTCAATGTGGCTTTTACAGTGTAATCAATAATACCATGATAAAAACTCTAACAAATATGAATTAACAGGTAAAAAATAATTAATTGTACACCAAGGAATCTAGCAGGTTCCCGCCACCAATATAACTATACAAATTCAGGATTAGAAAACACAAATGTTAGTTTCTTAATAAACTAACAGGAAAAGGACTATTTTCATGTAGCAAAATGGCAAGCACCATGTTGCCACCATGTGATCAATGACAATCTTAAATTGCAACAATGAGGTGGGATCAGGTTACAAATACAATTCCTCATACCCAGTTGTTGTGGCAGTTGAAGGTGCAGAAGGTTTTGCTGCTTCTTTCCAAGATAGATTGATTCTCTTATCCCCAATAAAAGAAGGAGATTTCAAATGTAGCGGCTGAGTCAAATAATAGCAAAAAAGTTCAGTTGACAGAAATTAGCATGCATCCAAAGTTCACACAGAATTTTATGTCCCTCCACCTGTGTCATTGCCAAAATGTTATTGCAGGTTCGCAACCCAGTTGTAGTATTCTGCTTTTGCGTCTTCTGCAGATTATGCAGAGATTATGTTCGTAAGACACATACTAAGAAAATAGCTTGACAAAAAATATTGCAAGCTCTCTTAGACTAAACTCACAATGCTAGCCTTTGCCTCATCAGATTTAGTAGTAGCCGTTGCTTTGTTGTGCTCAGCCATTCCCTGAGTTAATTTCTTAATGGTAGCTCTAGCTAGCTCTTCAACACAACTCAACCTGTTCCATTAGCCATAAGGTATGTCAACTATATATTAGCTATGCTGGAAAAAGATAGTGCAACAGAGTAGAAGTGAAAACACTATCGTATATGGTGTCATTATAAAGGAAGAGAGCAGCAGCAGCAGCCTCCTTATGAAATGATAGGACTGATTAAAGATTGCTATATAAGATACAGAGACCACATTTGGTATGAAAGTTCTTTTCTAAAGCCATCTGATTTCTATCTATTTCACTAACACTTAAAACATGGGAGGGAAAAATTCTGTAAAACAACTTAGGCAAATATAAAAAGCATTAAAATAACTTTGAACGTCACCATTTACGAGCTTTCAACCATGCAGAATCACAAGACCATAGCATAAAATGATCCAACAGAATTGGTCTTATCATACAGATAGTAGTTAATGTCTACTAGTTGGCTTCACTCACTAAATTTAAGATTAAGTCTTCAACAAGGATTGGACAGCGGAAGAGGTGGGAAGTATCGAGAGGAAAAATAAATACAGAACTAGAACCACAATGACAGGTGATAGAATCTTCGACTATCAAAACCAGAGGTGATCGGCAAGGCAGCAGACAACACTGACAGGCAAGGTTGCACTTGGAAATAAAACAAAACCTTAGACCTTCTCTGGTTCATGCTTCCCCTCCACCATTGAAATCATGCAGCCCATGTACACAGAGAGGCTTAGTTTCCAAGGGGGAAAGTTCTTGTATTGCAGTAAACAGTGGCACGAAACCCTAAAACTAATGGTTGTTGGTAGAGTGAGAGGAACAGCGCGGTATATGTGAATACACTGCAAGGATAATCTAAAAACAATCACCTGCAGATGGGTAGAAAGTACTTCGATGAACCAGTTCAAACTTTGACATGTTACAAATACATAACATATATGCACATAATTTTTTAAGGGATGCCGTTGGAACTGCTTCTATGACATACATCACCACAGTTCTTTGCCAGAAGACATATTTTTAAGCTAATAAATTGTGATGTGCAAAGTAAAAAGTCTCAACAATATCAAACAATTTCCACCAAGAGTTTTAGGGTTTTGCAATTCCAGATAACCATCAAAACTGGTCTTTCTAACCCACCAGTAGGTTCCCAATTAGTCTATGGTGAACTAGGAATCACCAAATGAACTATAAGGATCAACCTATAGGGATGATATACCTTATCCTGCCACAAGATTATTTGGAGTTCTGTCCAATCAGGAATTTCATGTCATCTGGTCACCAATCATACAGAACACAGAGTATCTTTCTTAGCCAAAAGCACATTTCAGGTAAAAATGTTCAAATAAAAATTTTTACTTAGTCTGTGTTTCAATGTGCCCTTCATAAGATGATTCCAAAACAACTTACGCATTCATGGGATTTAATGAGCATTCTATCCTTTTTATTTTCCCTTTGCTACAGCTGTTTGTTTTCTATGCTTCAGTAACTCGGGATGGTGTTCTCAACAGTCCAGTTAATATGCCTTTACATCCATTTTCCAACAAATGGATCAAACACTGCCCACAGAACATATGGATGAGGCTATCAAACAATCCGAGCAGCTTTAGCTCTATCTCGCGCTCGGCTCATATTCAGCTTGTTTAAATTGCAAAATAAACTGAATGTAATTAGATTTCCAAGCTTGTTTAGGAAAACAACTGAATCCAAGTAAGGTCACTCAGGTTAAATAAATTCCTATCTACAAATAAGTCAATTTCTTTTTTGCCAAACAACCAATACTCAAAAGATGAACAACCTCAAACTTATTGTCAAATAGGATCATGCACACATCTCTCTTTTTTCTAAGAGATTATTGGAAATTTAACTTTCAAAGGTTTGATTTTATGATTGATTACATAGATTTTAGAAGATTTTTGCTGAGACATTGATTATTTTATGATCTCATTATTAACTAGTATGGTTTAGTTATTGAAAATTTTTGCTAAGAAAATAAGCTTGATTTTGGGCTTGAGTTCGGCTTGAATGCTTACAAGCTTCAGCTGAGTAAAGCTTGATCAAGAATCTAAACTCGACAATGAAACTCAACTCAAGCTCGACTTTTCACAACCGAGCTGGGCTTGATCATACTCAAGCTTGACAAGCTTAGCTCGACTAATACTCATATGCATTCACGCATTTGTTTATCTCATTGTTTATCAGGAGACAGGACTAATATGTGAATCATTGAGTATTCTTATTACTTCTTGTTTTGCTTGTCCATAAACAGCCAACACTTCACTACACGCACAGGAGTGCAATGAGCAACATAAATTTAATTGTGAAAACATTTAAAACAAAAAAAAAAAAAAAGAGGAGAGAATATTTCAGTAGTAGAAAGAACATACTACCTTTCTGTGAACTCTTTGTAATTTTCTGAGAAGTCCTCCCCAAGCCTATCTGATGGTTGGCCAGTCACTATCTTGTAACCACATACGCTATTAGTGGCATTTGGAGTCTGTATAACGACAAAGAGAGGATAAGAACTGAACACTGAAGGCACTTAAGAGACATGCAGAAAAGGTAGGATTGTAGAACATTTGTAACCTTGTGAGCTAAATGGTGAAATGTGTACAACAAGCACTCAACATAAGTGAAGTTCATCTCTTCTCCAGCTTTCCTTAGAGGCATGTATTTCTGAGAACAAAGAAGTTCCATTTCATGAGCCAAAGAGTCAACTTAATTATTAGAACTTGTCAAAAAAAAAAAATCACATGTATCAAAAGCTGTGGCTTCTTTTTATGACATAAATTCAATGCATTAGTCTCCATCACTTTAAGACAAGGAACATAATTGGGTATAGTATAACGTGCATACACGAGTTCCCATGGTAAACATCAAATAAGATAAATGCAGTAATAATAAGAGAAAGAGAGGTACGAAAAGGAAAAGTGTACTGCGGTTATGCTTTTTCTATGAATGGACATTTACATTGTTCTTATGTATGTTGCGTATGCTTTAGAAGCTGAACATACAGATAAACAAGCATATTGCTATTTAGACAAATCTGTACCTTTAAGAGCTGAACAACAGTGGGAAGAATCTGTCTTGAATCCTGCGGAGCTATGTAAGGTGAACTTTCTGCAAGATTTTTCAGCAGGTCTACCTTGCGTTCTTCAGGCAGCTGACAAGCAAAAGTATGGTTAGAACAAATTCTAAAATTAATATTAGACCAAACTGACTCAGAAATTCATCTTTGAAGCATAATTACAGCTAGCTCGCGCCAGGAGGAATTATGTACCTAATTCAGTCCTTATCTGAACAGAAATATTCTCTTGCATATGCTAGTAATTTTCAGCCACTAAAAAATGAGCAAAAAGTAAACATCTTCCCATGAAAGGTTTATTGTGTTTACAAGAGTAAGTCCTCAATGCTAGGGGACATAGAGGTGAGGTATTCATTCTTCATTTTCCAAGGTATTTGAACATATTCCATTGTTATGTATTCTTAGTGGATGGGAGAGCTGTGTGGGCTTTACAGTTGGGATTATATGTCTGTCATGTTGTTTTTTTTCTCTTAGACAGGCATGCAGGTTGCATTTCTTGTCTGTCATTGCGCTTCCTTCCATAATACTTTCTACATCTATGAAACTTTGTTACTAACAAAAGAAAAAATAAAGCATAATTGACACTAGACGCTTTTTCCTCCATTAGTCTCTTGTCAATCAACAGGGAATCATCTCAATATGCTACCTATATTAAGCTAATAGCAATTGGTTTCATCACCAAGGTCCAGAAGATTGTTTAAAATAAACGGTTTAAGTTCCTCCGGAGCAACACATCCAAGTGGTTGCTCCATCCACACCTCCCTTGTAGGAAATCCAACTGCAAGGAATTGACAAAACAAATTAAACAGCCACAGGAGAATAATTCACCCTAGTCTACCCCTTTTGAGCAAGTATATCCTTCTGAAATTAACCACGATTCCAATCACTTTACAGTGCCACCACACTGATACCATAAACTCAATGGCACAAATTTGATAAAAGGATAAGACCAGCCTAGCTTTCAAGTGCTCAGTAGTGACATTAAGATGATAGCATATATGCCATATACCCATTTGCTGCATACATCCAACAACAGAGAAGGATTAAGGTTGGGAAGAATTTACACTCACAAAACTCCTTATGCTGCTTTTCACAGATCCTGGTACAGTTATTAGTTAGTAGATGATATTATAGGACGGTTCCCTATAAATTTTCTGTATCTTGTTAGCACTCATCAGCCATTTATATTTGAACACTCCTAAAAGCCGTATCTGGCACTTCTTTCATGTATTAATAAGTTGAATATATTTTCGTAATTTTATATACTCAACCGACATTTGAAATGCAATCCAACAAAGCATACACACTACTTGATAGGAGTCATGACTGAATGAACACACACCCAAAGTGTTATGGCACATGGTTGCTACAAGTCAAGCATGTGATGGACACTTTCTAATCATAGACAGAATACAGCTACAGAAAAGAATGACTAATAAAAATAGTCGTATATAGAATACGAATTATATATGTGACATTTTAATGCGCGGTGGTTCCATTAATAGAGTTTTATAGTATTTTTGTAAAATTAGCTTGGTTTACTTTCAGTTTTTTGAGCGTACAATAATGAATTTGAAGGACTCATATGTACTATAATGTTTTAGGGGATCATTCTGGTAAGCTGTCTGTATTTTTGTTTTCGAGATGTTATAAAGGTTTGTCAAAGCTGACAAACAAAAAACAAGCCTCCAAGATCTGAATTTTCTAGGTTTTTGGACAGAGCTTGGCTCTTTCTATGTTCTTCTCTGTCCTTTCTCTCCCCCATTCTTCCTTCACCCTTATTCTTATCATCTTTCTCTAATTCTTCTTAATTCTTGTTCACTATTCTCTCCTTGGTCTATTATTAACTCTCTCATCTCTGTTTCACATCTATCCTTCGACTTGTTTCTCCCTTTTCTTCTCCTTGTATTCTAAGATTTTCCCCCAACCCTTAATTCTTTCAAGTGTTTCTGCACCTAATCCTCTTCTCTTCCTCTTATCTTTTCCATCATCTATTCCAATCTTATTCTATCAAGGACAAAATAAAATAGCAGTACAATCTCTAAAAGTTCAGCCCCCGTAAGTGTTTGATGGAAGTCTCCATATAACAACAATTTAGTATGCCCAAAAATCGATTTAAAAAAGGCTGTCCAACAGGTGTATGATGAAAATCTGTGGATCTCAAATCAGCCTGGCAATTCTAAACAAAACCTATGACTCAGCATGACATCGACAAAGTGTTAGCGGAATTGGGTTTAGCCTTGGCAGGTTTGAGTCAAGGCTCAAAAATTCATTTTGAAACGGTCAAAACAACCAAAATATTTCCAAAACGAATAAGTGATTGAATTAAAATTCCAATTTTTGAGATGTTTCAGAATATTTCGATGTGTTTCAAGATGTTTTGACATGTTTTCACAAATATTTCGGAATATTTCAAAGTGTTCTAAGATGTTTCAGCATATTTTGACCAATGATTCGACATGTTTTGAAAATAAATTTTCACATTGTTTATCCATTTTCATTGTATTTCAAAACATTTTTGAAATGTTTATGTATTGCCACGTGACTAAAACAATGCACTAAAACGAAATGTTTATCATTAGAATGTGCGGTAAACGACTAGACTTATTAGACCTTCAAGTAAATGGATTGACACGAACCCAACCCGACACAATACGAATTCGACTATGCACGATTACCTATGGGTCGAATTTAAATTGTATAAATTTTGACACGATATGATTTAAACATGACATGAACCCCACACGACCATTGACATCCCTATAATTTCAGCCCTTTTCATATGCAATCAGAAAATATATCAATGAGTTGATGAAATCAGCAAAGAAAGTGTTTATTTGTTATGGATCCGATTATTTGTATGTTACGTGTTGAATCTAATGGCCAAGAGCTAGGATACATCACATTTGCTGAGTTTTATCCACCACATATTGCAATTGTTGCTGAAGAAACTCACAATATGTATTCATCTTATATACTTCATATTTGCTTGTGTGTGTGTGGATGTTCATATCCTACTTGTTTTAGAATTTGCCATGTTTGATATTGTGCATTTATTCCATATCCATATTGCTGATAATGATGAAGTTGTATGAAGGGCCGTAGCATGCATAATTATTAGTATCATACGATATGCGATACATATCGTACGATACGTTACAATACACCTGAAAAACGATACACATCGTATCTCTGTATCATTTTTACACTATATCGTACGATATACAATACGTCCGATACATGAAGATTTTATTTTTTTTATTTTTTATTTTTGGTTTTTTGGGGCTGAAATTATATCGTTTCACCCCAGAACTTATTTTTAAATCATTAATCAGTAAAACAACGTCGTTTCAGTGATTATGGTTTAAAAAATAAAAAAATAAAGTCTGTTGTTAATTTTGGTCAATTGAATTCAAATTTTTTGATTAATATTAAGATTGTTCAAACAGTTGATGTTAGAAGTTTAAATTAGATATGGTAGCATGCAAAAACGAGCACCAGATGCAAGAGCACAGAAAAAAGGGCAAAACTTAAAACTTACTAGCATACATGAGGTATGATGTTACCTTATCAAAAACAGGAAAAATATTCTTGTTCAAATAGTTGAGGAACTTGCTATTTGATGCACCTTGCTGAATTCAAAAACGAATTAGTAGAACAGAAAAATATACAATTGATCAGAAAAGGAGAAATGCATTTTAAGAATGTACCATAAAAATTGGAAGTGCCATGTAAAGGCATGATATCAATCTATCAATGTGATCTCCGTCTGAAACCTGCACTTTGTAAGCCAGTACGGTGATGAATGCAGTGTAGGAACCTCAGATCACAATGCAGTACTAATCCAGGAGAATACACCAGAAATCAGTAATTTAAAGAAGAGGAAGGACACATGGTCTTAAGGACATAAGAGAATTTAATGATATATAATGGCAACATTAGAACCATGAGCAGCAAACCGAATCAACAGTCCACATAAATACTATCCAACTGTAAAGGGAGCAAGGGAGACTGATAACTAAAACTGGGAATTTGGCCTGAAATTATGAAAAGTAATACGGGAGTTGCGCTCCCCCCCCCCCCCCCCCCCCCC